CTCACTGGATGTCATGACAACAAATGTCATGAAGGAAAAGTTTCAGTATCTCGCCTTTGCTTTCATTTCGGACCATCTCCAAAAAGACATAAAAAAAAAAACTAAACAAATGATTTATAAGTTTAACATGCGTTTATCAAAGTAGGAAATATATTAGTGCTCTTGAAATACGAAATGGAGACGGGTCCGGATTGAATTCCCTCCGGGTCCGGACTTTAAGAAGCACTGCTATACTACAACCAGGGCATCGCTAAAAATGAGTGTGTGAGTTTGTTTACAGAACGCTGTTGTCACGGCTGCAAACTCCCATATAAATAATTATTTAAAAAATATAATTTCCCTGCAGCCCGTGGGCCCCCTTTCCAGTGTAGGCCCCTGGGCTTCAGCCCCTTGAAGCCCGTGCATTAATGCACCCCTGGCTATGGCTATATTGTACATCTCTGTGTTATTGCAAGGGCATTGTTGGGTGGTTGCTAGACATTACTATATGGTTGCTAGGGTGTTCTCGATGTTTGCTAGGGCATTGCTGGGTGGTTGCTAGTGTGTTCTGGGTGGTTGCTATGACATTGCTTGGGTTTTTTTTTTTTAGTGCCAGGGGATTCATTTATCATTGCTAGGGTCCTCTAAATGGTTGCTATGGTATTCTGGTGGGTTGCTATGGCATTATTAAGGTTTTTATTTTTGTTGCAGGGGCATTGCTATATGGTTGCTAGGGTATTATGGATGGTTACTAGGGCATTTCAGGTGGTTGCTAGGGCATTGCTAGTGCATTTGTATAGAGACAGAGGGACACGCATCATAATCTGAAAACCACGCCCACCGGGGGGAAAAACAATCCAACGCTCTCCATTGACTTTCTATTGTGGGAAGCTGCCTCGTCATTTCTGACTTATAACAAAAAACAGAGCAATGCCTAAAAGCTGCTATGTGACAAGGTGGAGGGAAACGTAATCGGCGACAAGTCCATTCATTATTTTTAACCATGTCAAAGGATTATTTCATATTTCCATGAAATGGAATGTTATATCACATTACCACCCTATGTGAATCTGAGAGGAGGAGATATATTAAGAAGCTAAATTTCATTGGTCTATGTCAGTGCCCCTTTTCCTAACCTTTCTTTTGTTTGAGAAATGATCCAACTGAATGGCCCAACGTGAAATACCCCAACATCTACAACTAATTGTGTCCTAAACGCTTGTTTTTTGGGGGGTCGACAGCTTATAAAATCGTAGTTCTGGGTTTTTTAGCTTGTTTACTGTACACCTTGTCACATAGCAGCTTTTAGGCATTGCTCTGTTTTTTGTTATAAGTCAGAAATGACTTATAATTCATTATAAGTCATGTGTGGCCGTGGCCTAAATGCGCTCTGTCTCTATATGGTTGTTAGGATACTCTGGGTGGTTGCTAGGGTGTTCTTTGTCAGGGCATTGCTATATGGTTGCTAGGGTGTTTTGGTTTGTTGCTATGGCATTTCAAAGTGTTTGCTAGAGCATTCTGGGTCGTTGCTAGAACATTGCTAGGTGATTGCCAGGGTGTTCTGTGTGGTTGCTAGGGCATTGTTAGAGTGTTCTTGATTGTTGTTGCCAGGGCTTTACTATATGGTAGCAAGGGTGTTCTGGCTTTTATAGGGTTCTAGGGCATTTATAGGGTTGTTGTTGCTAGTGTGATCTGGATGGTTGTCAAGAGTGAAGTTTGCTACTTCAGATCTGGAGTTTGTTTTTTAAAATATAAGAAAGAATAATAGTGATGCTCCTCTCAGCAGTCTATGAGAGATAGTCTACTTGTGCACTTAAGTGTTAGAATTAGTGTTTGTTCACCTTAGATGCAACAGATTTTTCCAGCTTGTATTCAAATCAGACAAACTGCCATTTGCAGTTGCTCTCAATGCCATATTTTTCGCATTCACAGCACATTTACATTATTTACATCAATTGCAATGCAATGTGAAATAATCCACCTCCAGTATCACACCATTTATACTTATAACTCACATTTTCTCCTCTGAAATGGATAAATGATAGATTATATGGGTAGACAGGCAGATGGATAGACATGCTAAAACAAGACCTTGTTTGTCCTGTCACTCCATAAATAATCTTTCTCCTCCCAACTCCTCCTCATTCATTTTCTCATTTCTTCCTCCCCTGGTGACAAACCGTGTTAGCCATTGAAAACTAATTACACCACAACTCAATGTGGGGAATGGGCTCATTATTTAAGAATGCATTAATATAATCATGGAAGGGTAACTAAGGTCTTGGCAGTTTCTCACACTATGTTCATGCTCTGGATTGCACATTGTGACCTAATGGTTTGTCCACACTTGGCTGAAGTTTAAAGGACTGTCTTGTTTACGTCTGTTCGAAATGCTAGAGCATTTAGTCCAACATTCTTTCTCATGTGTGTAGTTCTGGCTTATCAGATGGTTTTGGATTCCAGATGTTCACCCTTTGGGGACTCGTAAATGATTTCCAGATATCTCTCCTTTTCTGTTCCCAGCTAGTATAGTTGTGCTGTCAGAGCAGCCTTTAAAGGCATAAAAGGCTTACTTAATGTAAATGATTGTGCAAGTTTAGTTAAATTCTTATAGAAATGCTTTCTGTTTGTTTGGAGTTCTGTTCAACCGAAATAGGCCACTTACTACCATCCTGTGTTTTTTAGGTGTGGACCTAATGCTTACCCCAGTATGAGCACTATACAGTAGCCCATAGCTTTCCTTTGGACATTGACAGACAGAGGACACTGAAGAGACAGAGAGAGAGACAGCAGCATGGCTGTCTTCAAGCTGGATAATGTTGAAGATCTTTATGAGATTGGAAGTGTTTTGGGAAGGTAAAGAGATGCACAATTTATTTTCTCTTTTATTCTCTTTCCTGAAGAAAAAAAAGATGTATCAGATGACAGTACCATGGTATATACTACTGTTCAAAAGTAATTTTGTTTTTTTGTTTTTTTTTAAAGAAATGTATACTTTTATTCAGCATGGATCCATTAATTAGACTGCAAAACATTGTTACAGAAAAAATTGTCATTCAAATAAATATTGTTCTTTTGAGCTTTCTGCTCAGTGAAGAATCCTGAAAAAAGCAGCGAAGCTGTTTTCAAGATTGATCATAATAAAATATTTATTGAGAACCAAATCAGCATATTATAATGATTTCTAAAGAATCATGTGACACTAAAGACTGGAGTAATGATGCTGAAAATAATTACATAATACATAATAAATTACATTTTAAAATATATATTTAAATAAGATAAAATACAACTTTTACATTGTAATAATTTCACAGTTTTTATTGTAATTTTTATCGGATTAGCTTAGCATAAGAGAGTTCTTTCAAAAACTTTAAAAACTCTTATACCGACGCAAAATTTTGAAAGGTTATGTATATCAAAATATTAATTATCTTAAATATAATATAATATAAAAAAACAATATGATAATTTTCACATTGCCGTTTAAATAGTATTTTAGAGGCACTTGGTATTTTGATATTAACATGGCAACATTTCCAAAATATCTATTTTGTCAAACAAATGAGTTACGTTTTTTTTTTAATGTTGTTTTATTGGTTCATTATTACATTAAAATGTGCCATAATAAATTATTATTATTATGCTAAAAATCAATAAAAATAATAAAGAAAATAAAGAATCTAAAATAAATTAACAAATAAAAGAAAATGAAAATAATTTACAATGCCATATACACTAAATATTTATATTATACGGTAGGTTCACTATAGTATACATGCATTGTACCGTATATAAGATTATCTGTTTTAACCCCTTTTTTGGAACTTACATAGTTAAACAACTTCCTAGGTCTTATTTTAACATCTCCATCTAAATAAATATCTCCATTTATTCTGTCTATTGCCATCCTAGTGGTCACTTTGGGCAGGTGCGTGAGGTGCGGGAACGGGCCACTGACGTTCTGTGGGCGGGGAAATTCCTAAAGCTGAAGAAAGGTGCAGGAAGCAGGTTGGGCCTGGAGAGGAAGAGTGTGGAGAAGGAGGTGGAGATCCTACAGAGCCTTCAGCATCAAAACATCATGGCTCTCAAAGATGTTTTCGAGAGCAGGGCAGAGGTGGTCCTCATCGTTGAGCTGTGAGTATGTGTTTGGTTTTCTGAGATTAAAAAAACTTGGAGGAAACACACCTGAATGAAGGTGATGATGAGTGATAAATAGAGATAGGAGGAAGAATCAACAGAAAGTTATGATATGATTAATATTAAAGAAATGTTCATATTTCACCCAAAAATAAAAAGTAAAAAAATTTCTGTGCTGTTAAACCGGTTTTGTTATTGTTTAAGCAGCTAACAAAACATGTGTCAACAGCTGAGTGTGTGCTTTTATATTTACTGACTGATAATAATAGTGTCTGCATTTACATACCGGTGTACAGTAAGTTTTGTGAAGTGTGTGCGCATGTTGAGTTTGCATCTGCTCGAGTGTGTGTTTGAATATGCACAATTTTTATTTCTAGCCGTCTCCATGGAGACTAAGTTCAGATAAAATGACAGAGCTGTGTAAGTTCAGCTGTAAATTGAGTGGACAGGAACAGAAATAGCTATGGTGATATCACATATGAGATATCACTGCTGATGTACGGCAGAAATGTCATTTAACATACTGAAACATGCTGAAATGTGACACGCACACACACACACACACACACACACACACACACACACGCCTGCTACACTTATCAGTGCTCTTTAAAGGTGACATATCATGAAAATCTGACTTTTCCAGGTTTTAAGTGCTATAATCAGGTCCCCGGTGCATCTACCAACCAAGGAAACGTGAAAAAGATTAACCCAGTAACTTTGTTTTGGGAAGCCTT